CGTCGCGCGCGGCCTGGGCTCCCACGGTGACTGGCCATGCGGCACGAGTCGGAAGCATGGACGAGGAAGCCGAACAAACGAATGGACGAGCGGTTTGCCTCGTAAAGAAAAACAGTCTGATAGCATGGTGTAAAGGATTGTAAAGGTCTAAAGAAACACACAAAAACATAGAAAAATGGTCTCAAAAGGTCTTGTGGGGAAGTCATATACCGACCATGTCCTTTTTGCGGTCAGTGCAGCAGCCTGCCCAATCTTTCCAGTCCGAGTCCGTGGCCTATAGTGGTCTTTGGCTATCGATATCTATCGATAGTCCGTTGGTCTACGACTGGTAGGATGGGGATGCGCTGATTCATGGTCCGAATCGGATGGTGCTACTGAAAATGCAATCTCACCTTTGGCCACCAGCACGGAACAGCATGTTTTAAAGTGGAGACTTAATCAAACACTGGACTGCTTCAAGGCAGGTTTCCTACGTTTGCATCACATCTCGGGTCCGTGTGCTCTCTGGTCCTCTTCTCCACTTGTGTCCATACCCGTTTGCATGCTCTTTTCGCACACCCCGAGGGCCTCCGTGCCGCAATCGCTGTCTGCATTGACGCCCTACTGCGGTTGGATGTACTTTGACCCAACGTCCTTCTGCCAACCATGGTGCAATCCACTTTCGGGATTGCTGCACCACGGTTTCTTTCGATGTGTTTCAAAAGTTGCTAATCCGGAGCGCCGGAGCCATGCTGGGAACTTCCAAGGTGGGCCAGATCGGAGCCAAAAGAGCTTAAGGGCGCATGGCCGCGGGCTCCGTTCGCATGGCTCCGTTCGATGCTCCGTTCGTGCCGTCTACGTCTCAGTGACCTGTTCCGGCCCGACGCTCGTCGGGTGAAGCGCTCCGAGCGCTCGACGCTTCGGGCGCTTTGGCCTCGCGGGAGCGAAGAAAGAGACTGCAGGTGCCTCGGTCGGAGCAAAATGATGGGCACCGGACGAGACTTCTGTGGTTGGTCTATGTTGGTCCGACCGACTTCTGTGCGATCCAACTGTCAAGAGAGCCAGTGATCACTCTGATCCCTCCAAATGCAACTGTGAGCTTCTGAGAGGCCCGGACAGCACCAATGACAAAGACTGCCCAGGACCTGAGCAATCACACAGATTGGATCACAGATTGGACGTGTAAATCCTTCACTTGCAACCTTGCATGGAATGGAGGGGAAACTGAAATCATTCAGATTCACTCAATTCTCTCGATGTCTGTGGTCGACACCGTCGACCCCACAGACCCGGCCTGCTATTTCAAGCTTGCTATGGAACAGAACATGGCCAGTGCGGTGGTGCAGCTAATCCTCCAAACTGCTGGCTGATACCAAGTTCCCTGTATCATTCTATATCATTCTGATCCCAAGCCAAGCAGCAAGAAAGCCACCGATCGGTATGCAAATCCAGGTCAACTGCCTGAGATGTCAAGTCGCTGTTGAAAACACGCCATCAAAGGGGCGAGCAATGATCGAAGGGGCCCACTGTTTAACTCACTTACGCGCTTACGCATATACAGTCTCCAGATCTCCACAGCATCGCTACTTGTGCAACAGAAGGGTCGCACTGTCCTTGGGTCGCACTGTCCTTCAAAGTGTATATCAGCCAAGTTCCATGATGTTCCACGAAAGGAAACAAGTCAACGTTGTAAAAACAACAACTTACCTCGTCGGCTTCGGCTTCCACTCTGTGGGACAACGACTTCGTCCCGACTCTGAAGGCTTGAGTTTGGAATTGAAAGGCAAAGAAATCCATATCAGGATATATCAGGTCAGCCTGCTGTCCTGTGCCAACAGAATCAAAGCAGGGCTTTCGGTGCCAGGATGCAATTTGGTCAAGGACCAAAGCAGCCCGGGTAAGGCAACGAAGCTGATCATGGCCACAATGTGGTGGAACTTTTGACTGCGGGCGAATTCGGGTGTATGCAGATGCATTGACAGTCAGGAATTACAACCCACAACCTGGTTCACTCACAGTTGAAGCAAGCAAAACAGCTTTTGTGCCTTTCCTGTGACCTCTCAATACTCGTATACTATACCGTATATTATAGCGGTAGACATTTTAGAGAGGGCTTGTGAGGTAGGTGACAGCAGGGGAGTATGTTTCACTTTGATATTGTGTGATGTTGTATGACTTTGTCTTACTGTATCCATGATGGCATTTAAGTGAGATCCCATTATCTATGCATATCCATGAAATGATTCATCTATCTACCCATGCAGTAGTGGTTTCCGTAGAAATGCGAAAAGGACAATCATATTGCATAATATAGGTCAGTCAATAATGGCTCTATATATAGCTTAGCTTAACCTGTTCCTTTGATCCAAAAACAGACACCTTCTCGTCGGGGGGGGGATGATCTCCAGGGCCCCCTTGGACACCGGCGTCTCCCACCTGGCCAGGACTCTCCGCGACTTCCAGCCTGTGGGACCGTGGAACCGGAAACGCGAAGCGTTCCATGCTCCGCGAATGAGAGACCCGCGTTGTTCGGCTGCAACGGAAGCGAACAATGCCCGCGAGAATGAGAGTAGGCCGAACTTGTGCATGAGAGTGCGTGAAAGAGATGGCCGCACTTGATCATACTCTTCGATTTGCTGAGGTGATCACATGAGATTAGGAGGATGAGAAGTGCAAATCCTCCAGATGCTGCTGCCAAACACCACCTTGGATGCGAGCGTGGTTGTGGTTTGAGAACCCAGACTGCAATTCACATGGCTTCAGCTTGTATCGGAACTCTCTTGCAACCCACAAACACAACAGGCCAGAAAAAATTAGGAAAATCTCATGGCCGAAGAATTTAGAACCTCCAAGACTTTCAGGTGCCCTTGTGGTATTGCATGTTGCTGGATCTCCGCCGCTGCTTGGATGCAGCTGGAACAAAGTGGGGCAAAAGAAAAGACTCTGGCGAAAGCAAAACCATGCAAAACCTGGATGAAATGCCCTGAGCAATGGATTTTGCATTCTCCATGTTGCATCTTTGTCTGCTGTGGATTCAGTGGATTGGGTCCAACATTCAACGTAGCATAAGGCATCGCTACTACTAGTAGGGACAAGGGCATGACTACGATCGCGGATCCGACACGATCGTTTTTACGGTGGAATCAACACGTCAACACCACGAGCGGGTCTCGCTCCGTGAAACCGTCGGTCGTCGAAACGGACGTCGAGTCGACGTTCGCCCGACGGGTCAGGTTACTGGCAGCTTCCTTGCTCCTGGTAGTAAGGCCAGGAGCCCCTAGTAGTTTCCTTGCTCCTGGTAGTAAGGCCAGGAGCCCCTAGTAGCTTCCTTG